ACCGGACCAGGCCCCTTGCGGTCGGATGCTCGCTGGACTCCGGTGCTCAGACCGACGTGTGTCCACTCGGGTTTTCTACAGAGACGGCTCTTCCTCTGACCCTCGGTCGGGTTCAGAGAGTTCACGGGGGCCCTTGTCAGTGCAGGGCTTTGCGGGGAGCAGCGTTACCATCCTGCAGCACACGGGAAGACCTGGGCCCCTTTTCCGAAAGCAGCTTCCTTAATAAGCTCTCACTATTCTTCCGCCTCCTCACGCGGTCGGCGTCGTGGGTGGGCTGTTATACTTGGCAACCATGCGGCGGCACATGGGTTCGAAGGAACCTTTCCTGCTCTGGAGGAAGCGTGCCACCCCAGGGCAGGGCTGCGGAGAACTGCGCGGAGGCTGCATTGTTCAAATACTTTGGCCCAGGACTTGTCTCTTCAGGAGACTCCTCCAGCTCCTTGTACCCTCTGTGTGTGAGCGTCACTAGGTGTTTGTGGCAGACTGGGAGTCCCTCCTGTGCCTCTGTCTTAACCACGAGGTGTGCTGGACCCAAGGGGCACGATGCTGTTGCTTTAAGAAGTCCTTGTAGCACTCAACGATGTAATGCCCCTAGCACACGCTAGCGTCTGCCTCTACTCAACAGCCAGGTGGGCTCGCTCCTGCTTTTGCTCCCACGCTGGAACAGGCAGAATAAATGGGGAGGACGTAGGTGGCCGGCCTGGGGAATGCAAGGAGGGCCAGCTGCCCGGGCCTGGGACCTGCGATGGCCTCTACGGCTCCATGCTCAGAAGGGCCCGGCGTTCAGTCTAAAGCCCTGCTGCTCCCATCTAGAGATGCCGAGTGCGTCTTGACAAGGCTCCCCACGTTTTCTGTGTCCTGGGCCCCACGAGTGAGGTCGCAGGTCCTGCTTTGAGGTCGTCCACTGTCTTAGGACCTGCTAGAGGATCCCAGATACGGACACACCGGAAACGAGGCGACAGCTGAGTGACCAGTGGCGAGGCACCGCGTGCTGCAGAAGCGCCTCGAACCTGCCTGCGCTGACGTCAGTGTTTTAGCGTTGGCCTTTGGACCGGGGAGGTTTCTGTTCTGCCTAAAACCTTTCTGCCTCCTAAGCTCCCGGGTTTACCGGTCTAGAACAAGTTCTTTATTCTCTGGGAGAGGAAAGAAGTAGGGAGTGGATCCGGGAAATGTGAGCTCCTTCTTACTGTGGGTCACGTGCGGCTTTGGCCGGCAAATCTGGCTCCGTGGCTCAGATTCCAGCCTCGGGACTTTCTGTGGCCGCTTCCCAGCGGCGGCGGTCCTGGCTGGGCAGGTGCTCGCTCTGGCGGCCACTGTGACGATCACTGTGGTGATCTTGACTCTCTGAGTTCTGACGGGCTCTCCTCCTTCTCATCCACGCTCCGCCGTCACCCCCTCCCTGAGGTGAGTCCCGGACACTCTGCTGCAGATAACACCCCTCCCAGCCACCCTGACGCCCACGATCCCCCTCATTCCATTCTTCTGGTTTAAATGCGTAAGGCTTGGACACAGCAGCCACTCAATACCCATGAATCGAACACAGGGACGAGAGAGTGACCTGCTGACACACACCCTCCCAGTTACAGGTAAGCCTCTGTGAGAATTACAGTGCCGGCTAGACTCTTACCCCTTTCCTCCCCAGCTGGTCTGTTCTCTGACAACTGATTCAAGTGCTCAGGATTCTTCTGATCTCAGCCCCCCAAACATACCAGTTTTGGGAGGCGAGCCAGCTTGAGATCCAGGGGCTCCGGGGCCGAGTCTCCCCACGTTACTGAGTAACAGTGCTCTGCAGCACAGCAGGCACGGACAGAAGGCCGTGCGGGTTCCGCGCGCAGGAGGATGTCCGAGCGCAGGGGATGTGACTAATCCTTACGGCTCCTTTTCTGTCTCAGGGGAATTCACCTGGGCCTCTCCCCTGTTCTTCGGGGTGGGGGGTGTTGGCCGGGGTGAGCCCGCGGACAGGAACCCTGGGCCCGCTCAGCCAGCCCTTGGACACACCCCTCCCGAGAGTGCGCAGGCGTCCGCGTCGCGCGTTCCAGCGCGGTCCAGGCCAACTTCAAATCACCAGTCCCCCGCCTCCGCGCTCCTTTCGTAGAAAAATCAGCTATTTGTTCAGCCACGTGCTGACCTGGAAGGAGCCTCAGGAGACTTTCTCACCAAAGCCCTACTTCAGCCGGTTGAGACGGTCGTAGCTGGAAGCGGAACTCGCAGGCCAAGAGAGCCTGCGACCGTGACTTCGGAAGGAGAGCGCCGGTCACGGGTGAGGCCGTGGAGGAGGAACGCGCGAGTGGGCACGCAGAAGAGGACCGGCGCCCGCACGCCCACGCCGAGGCCCCTCGTTCCGGGCGACGGGTCCCGAGGGCTTTCCCGGCTTCGCCCTCTTTCCCTTTGGAAGACTCCGGACTCGTCTGCAGTTCGACCTGCCATCCCAGTAACCGGGTGTTTGGTTCGAGAGTCTAAGTGGCGCAGTCCATCTACTGACTGTGTTTGTTTAATCCTTTTTTTTTTAAAGGAGACAGCTCCCTGGTCCTGTCAAGTTCCAGGCATGTACATTTGTGTTTCCAATCCCTTGCCGTGGAAATAATGACTTTTCGGCGACTCCCCCGACCAGGTGGAATAAATGCAATGGCGGAGATTATTTTGTTTCACAGCCAGGAATTGGAAGAATACGTTTTAATATAAAAATAAAATAGATGCTAGAATGTCAAAAGTTTTTTTTTCCCCCTTTCTAACAGACTGACGTCTGGGAGTTGCTGGGTTTCGAAACACCGAGCAATTATCTTATGATTTTGTTCTAGAAGGAGATACACGGAAATTGTTGTCGCGTAGGGAAATAGGAGGAAAAGAGTTAAAACGAGGAGATTGTCCCTGGGTCAGAGATTCTGGAGGTTGTAAGCCCTTCCAAGAGTGAAACGACCCCTGCAGACTGGACAGCGTGTGCATGCCTGTCCCGGGGCGGGGGGACAGCTGAGGCGCTTCCTGGGTGGGGGTGGGGTGGGGCCGCAGAGCTGGCATTCCCAGGGCGCCCGGGAGGGAGGCGGGGGCGTGTGTTGTTTCCATGGACACGGCACCGCTCCAGTCATCCTCTAGGTGGGGACCCATGTGACCGGACTTAGCCCGGTGACTGGACTAAGCCAGTGGGAATTTGTTCCCATACACTTTTCCCAGTTTTCTCCTTATGACCTTTATGCAAACATAGGACTTCTAAGACAGAATTACTGTATGGTCTCACTTCGGGGATTTGCTTAATTCTTCCTCGTGGGAGAGGCTGAAGCTAGTGGAATAGCCCCCAAAGCCGCATTTTAAAACACCGTCCCCGAACGCACACGCCCGAGGTCTCTGGCCCGCTTGGAAGGCACAAGGAGCCTTGCTCTGGCTGCGTCTGCCTTCCCCTTGCTCGGTGACGACGCCCCGCGACGCCCCGCCCCGCCCCGCGGGCAGGTAGTCCCGCCTTCAGATCCCTGCGCCGTGCGCTGGAGGGGGCGAGAGCTTCGGGAAGGGGGTGGGGGGGCTCCAGTTTAAAAAAAATGGGGAACAAGGAGCTACTTGTGTGTTTCCCAGGACGCACCACTAGCTGATTAGGAGACAGGAGCCCAGAAGCAGCGGAACCGGTGCCCACACCACTCACACGGCCTCACACAGTAACCTTTACACAGCAGCTGTCAAGCTAAAGGCCAAGGCCAAAACCAGCCGAGCAGGGCCCAGTTCCTGTCCCTCAAAGCAGGACAGCTGAACCCGCGGCCAAGTTTAACAACCCAACCGAACACACCAACCCAAGCCACGCTCCAAACCAGCGTTCTCCGAGCAAGGAAATGGTCCCAACGAGGAGTTAGACGTTTCCCAAGCACTGCCTTCCGGAGAGCGCCAGTCACGGTCTCCTGGCCCCTTACCGCTGGCTGAGAAAATACCTCGACTCCCTGAGTCCTCTCTGGGTGCAACCGCGACGTTGTATCCATTTACTAAAACTCCTGAACTGGGGTTAGCACGATTACCTACACCATGCGAGTTTGAAGAGCAGAGAAAAAAAAAATATCTCCCTACCTACTCTGAGTTCGCACCAGTTGTTAAAAAAAAGAGAAAGTACTCATTTGCTGTCTGGCAGCCAATGTCGGGGACAGAATACGCTGAGAAATCGGGATGTTGACTTCCAAAGTGTCTCCCCTTGAAAAAGTGACCTCAGAAGTTGCGGCTCACGGTACACGACCGTGCCACAGATCCTCCGGTGCCTGCCAGGCAGGGGATTTAATAAAATTACGTTGAAAAAAGCCGGGTCATTTAAGGAGAGTAATTCATTTCTTGCCTTGACTCTTTCCCAGAACAAACATAAAAAATGCATTATTTTCCTTCCCGGTATTAGCGAAATATTTTCCAAATCCAGTGCGCTGCCTGCCCTGCCTCCCTCCGCCAGGGTCTCTCTCACTCGGCGGGTGAGTCTGCTGGAAAACGACACCCGAGAACTCATCTGATACGCGCTGCTGCGCCCTTTCCTCCCCTCTAACGCCCCAGCTGCGGCACAACATGCGTTTTCATTTCGTGAGGCTTTCTGCAACCTACCACCGCACTACAAATAAAAAGTTTCAAGTTGTTCCCCCCCCCCTTTCTTTTCTCTCCCCTTTTAAAAGATTTTAACTTTTGGGTGTATTGCCTTAAAAAAGTTCCCAAGTTACCAGGGATCTGTCTTTGGAGCTACCGTCTATGAAACATAAATTTAAAAAAAAAGTGCGTTTCTAAGGTACACAGAAGGTCAACAAAACTGCCTTAAAAGCTTCTGATGGCTGTTGGAAACGTAGGCAACAGCTTGTGCAGAAATCAAAACCATTTACTCGGAGCTGGTTCGGGAGCCCGGGGGGGGCGAGAGAGGGTCGCCAGGGCGAGGGGAGCGGCAGGGACGCCTCCGCGAGCGGTGACAGCCCCGTGCGCCCACCCTCGGGGCTGCGCGGCCGCCCGCCCGCCCGCGGGACAGCAGCGAGTCCGCGAGTCCCAGCTGTGCGCGCACTTACCGTGATGGCCTGGAGTCTCTCCTTGAGCAGATCGGCCTCTTCCATTCTGGCAGGCGGGGACCGGCAGCCGGGGAGGGGAGTCCCGAGCGAGCGACCATAAATCAGGGGCCGCGGTGGGGAGAGGCGCGGGGGCGACGCGGAGGCAGGAGCAGCGCGCTCGGGGAGCCCCGCCGGCCGAGAGGAGCCGCCGCCGCCGCCGCCGCCGCCGGCCGGGCCGCCGCGCCTGCGAGCAGATGCGCAGAGCCGGGCGGGCTGACACAGGCACCGAGCGCGCGCGGGGCGGCCACGCCGGGCTGCTGGCACCAGCTGACTGACAAGTTTGAACGGCAGCGCACCAGCCCTTTCCCCCGGGAGCCGCCAGCTCTTTGTTGTAACGTGCACAGGGAGCGCCGCGCATTGCTCATTAACTGTTCCTTGCCCAGGTCATTGTTTTCCGGGGCGGGGTGCGGCGGGGTGGGGAGGGGGGGCGCTCGGGGAGCCCAGCGCCGGGGGGTTTCCGCAGCCCCTGCCGTGGGGTGTGTGTGTGTGTGTGTGTGTGTGTGTGTGTGCGCGCGCGCGCGCGCACACTTCACTGGCCTCTCCTCCTCCAGGCTCTGCAGAGACTCAGCCTCCCGGGGCCTCGGCCAAGGCCCTTGCTTGTCCCCCGCCCTCGGATGGGCTGCCGTTAGTAGTAGCACACCCCAGAGTTTCTTTAGAACTTACCGCAGTGGGCAGTGCCCACAAGCTGCCTCCCCGCCACCCCCCAGACTCCGGCTGCAGGAACTTGTCTCAGACTTGGGTATCTTTGCGTTACGGAGACACCAAAGGCGCTAAGGTGGCTCGGGGTGGGTCTTGGCCCCCCCCCCGTGGTGTTCCGGTGCCGCGCCGACGTCAAGAACCACCCTCGGTGAGTTCTTGCATCTCCGTGGAATGCAGTGCTTTCTTGGACCGTGTTCAGAAATGACACTTGGCTTTCAGGAAGGTGCCCATTTTGACCTCACAGGTTACTCGAGGGTAAGGGTGAGCCTTTGACCCTGTGTGGAGACGTTCTGTAGCGCAGGCAGCCGGACACTGTGGCTACTCCTCTGCCCTTTAGCAAAAAGAAGTAGCCCTGGCTGGTGTGGCTCAGTGGGTTGAGTGTGGGCCTGCGAACCAAAGGGTCGCCTAATCAGTTCTGGGTCGGGGCACATGCCTGGGTTGCGTCCATCCCTGGTTAGGGGCGTGCAAGAGGCAACTACATGTTGATGTTTCTCTCCTTCCTTTCCCCTCTCTCTAAAAATGAATAAAATCTTAAAGAAAAAAGTCAAGCCCAGTGAAACTCTTAGAGCCAAGCAGAGGCCGGGAAGCTTTACAATGGACTCTGTCTGACTTCTTTTCCCTCCGTCTCTCTGATTCAGTTTGGAAGCAGTGCATCCTCATCCCCATCTTCCTCGTTGTCAGGTGCTTGGGTGCCTTCATAGCAACAGTCAGCTGGAGGGGCGGAAGGGACAAACTGACCATTGGACACGCAGTTTAACTTCCTCGCACTGCTGACGCCAGTAACACAGACAGCTACTATTTGCTGACTCCTCTGTGGAGGTGAAGGCTTTCCATCCCGTCTGTCTTACATGGTGCTGGGAGACAGATGCCACGGGCCCTACTTCAAAAACGAGGAAACTGAGGCTCAGGGAAGTAATTTCACAGACTAATTAGTAGCAAGGCCAGGGCTGGGACGGGACTGTCTGATGTTACAATAGCCGTTCCACAGGCTGGCCGGAGGAAACAGGGCAAGGAGAACGGGCTGAAGGGTTAGATCGGAGTTTGTGAGAGAGGGGGGACCCCCCCCCCACCAGGCCCTGGCCTCCTCCTCCGTGTAGTTCCCAGGACACTGATAGCCGGGTTCCAAACCCTCGGGCAGAGCCCTGTGGGAGTCTCCTCTGGACACACACGCTCGATGGCTCCCGTGAGAAAAGATTTCTGCATATTGCCATTCGGAGTCCGCCAGCGTAGCGCCTGAGGGGAACCCACCAGTTTCAAGTCTGCAATCGCACCTGAGAGCAGCTGGCTCCAGCACCCTCAGGAGAAGTCAGGGGGCCCAGAGAATGGGAGAATCGGTTTGGTGTGGGGCAAGTGTGATCACCATTGCATGGATAGTTCAGCTCAAAATAAATCAAACCTTCAAAACTTTTTGATTTTGTTTATCTGCCGATGCTGGCTGCATCTGAGCCAGGAGAGCAGCAGTGATAAATAGCTCCGTCAGAATCGCACAGTCGCTGCCCAGAACAGTTGGGCCTTCATCCAGTCATTCGTCTGGACCCTTTCCTAAAAACGATTTACCTCTCCAATCTCGCTTCTGCTCTGGGGAAACCCAAGGGTTCTCTAGTGGGGAGGGGGGCATTAAACCACAGAAGAGTATCAGGGAATTTCAGAGGGAGTGGGGTTGGGACAACTGATTGGTATCATCATGTGTTTATTTATTGATTTACTAATAATTGCTATTATGTTAAGGTATTTGTTATTCATATGTTCTGCATATATATATATATATATATATACACACACACATAAAATTTGGTATTTTAAAAAAGACTTTATTTATTTATTTTTAGAGAGGGAAGGGAGGGAGAAAGAGAGAGAGAAACATCAATGTGCAGTTGCTGGGGGCCGTGGCCTGCAACCTAGGCATGTGCCCTGGCTGGGAATCGAACCTGTGACACTCAATCCACTGAGCTACGCTAGCCAGGGCCATGTTCTGCATATATTTAATGGGCACATGTGATGTGTCAGGCACTGCACTAGGTGTCTGGGGTTCAGGAACAAATAACATTGCTGCTCTTCCAGAACTTGTATTTTCGCAGACAAGGAAAGATGCACAGCACAAGCAAGCAAAGTACCGGAAGTGAGAGGGTGGTGGTGTTAGTCTGAGTCCTCTGAGAAACCAGTGCCCAGGTGGGTTAGCTGGGCTGGGTTTTGTTAGCAGAGCGGCCCCGTGAGAGACAGCAGGGAGCCGGGAGGAAAGGCTGCAGCTGGGAAGTGTGGGAGAGCGATCGGACCCTGGTGCTGGTCCGACCCGAGCGAAGGCTCGAGGGAGGCACCACTGGGTGAGAAGAGCGTCGTCAGCAGTGCTGCCTGAGGAAGACTGCCAGCCTTCTAGGGAGCCTTAGCGTCCCAGTCAGCCGCCAGCGAGGCCCGGGTCTCCCAGGAAGGGGCCTGCCTTAGCGTGCCGGCCATCGGCCGGGAGCAGATCCCTGGGTGGGGAGGGCTGGCTCTTGCCACAGTCCAGGGGTGAATTTCAGTCAACAGCCGGGACAGGTGGCCAGTTGCGCTCCGGTGGTTGGATGCCGGAGAGACGCATCCTCACGACTGCCGTAGCGATGACTGCTCGGGGAAGAAAATAGAGCGAGGGAGGGGAATAAAGATGGGGATGGGGGCAAGGTGCAACCTAGAGGTGGGCCATCGGGCAGCCTCCATGGGGAGGGGGGGCATGGGAACGAGGCCCCAAGGGGGCGGGAGCTGGCGGTGAGCATTGCAGGAGCGCACCGTGCAGAGCGCACCGTGCAGAGCCCGGAGGGGGACTCTGTCTGGAGTATCTTAGGGACGAGGACGGGGAGGAGTGAAGAGAACGGTAACAGGCGATGGGGTTGGAAAGGTACCAGGCCTCAGTTCATGCGGGTCTTGGAGGCCACTGGGAGGACTTCGGCTTTCGCTCTGTGGGAGGTGGCAGGCCCTCGAGTCGTTCTGAGTGGACACGTGACGTGACCTGGCATGTTCTGCAAGGATGGTGGCCGGGCGACCGGGTGGGATGCTGCCGCAGTGACCCAGGTGAGAAACGACGGCAGCGTGAGCCAAGGTGGAGACAAAGAGGGCGGTGGGGATCGGTCGGACCGTGGATACGTGTTAAAGTAGAACCAACAGGATTTCCTGAGATTGGACGTGGGGGTTGAGAGAAAGAGGGTTCATGGTAACCCCGAGACTCTTGGACGAGCCAAGGGAAGTTGCCCCCAGTTGTGACAGGGAAACAGGGGAAATAGGTTTTGTTTTTTTTTTCCTTTTGAGGGTGAGGTTACATACCCAGAACTCAGTTTTGGGCCAGCCAATCAGCTATCACCCCGAGATGTGGAGCAGACGATTGGGTACATGAGCTTGGGGTTCAGGAAAGAAGTCTTATCGGGATTTGTAAAATTTATTGCCTCTCTGGTGGTAAGCAGGATGACAAAACGGAGAGTGTCGTCACCCACAGAGCAGGTTAATCAAGTGAACAGGGATGCCCATGAAATCCTCATGGGCAAACTCAGTCTTGGTGAAGTAGGTATGCGGTAGTGCCCTGTCTCCTCTCAAAGATCTTGTCCAACCAAGTTCACGAAATGTGCTGCTGTTTTCCAGCCAATGTAAAGGAGTGTGGCCAGAGCTAAAGGTTACGATCAATGCTCTGACCTTCTATTAGGGGTTGAGAGATGTCTGAGCTTCTGAGACGGCGCCTTTTCTTAGAATCGCATGCCGTCTGGTTGGAGAGGTGAGGCGCATGCTCGAAACCAGTGGGGGCACAAGATATCTTGTCATTGGAGCTGATAAAACCAAGTGCTGACTTCTGCTGTGTTTGGGACCAGGAGAGTGGGGCGTGTGAGTCGCAGTGACCTGGGGCACAGGCGACAAGGGCAACGTGAGTGGAAGGAGAGAGCGGTCAGGGCGAGGAAGCAGAACTTGAACAGCGGAAAAGTCATTCTTACGGGCAAATGGGGTCAGAGGACCAGAAAGGGGAGTGTCCGGCTTGGGGCAGGGAGGAGACGTTACAGAGAAAGACCGATGGAGGTTTCCATCCACACACAGAATTTGATGTTCGGGGAAGCGGACTAGGGCAGTGGGAGATGAAAGATCTAATTCGTAGTTCAGGAGCATGAAACTGTCAGCGCCTCCTGAACAGGAAGGGTGGGGCAGGGTGGTCTCGTGGGAAGGTAGGGAGCCCGGAATGGGGGTGCCCTCGGAAAGAGTCTAAAAAATTGGCAACGTTCTGTGAGAAGAGGAGAGGTCCCCAGGCCTCTTCCTGACCTCTACGAGGGCTGGACCCTGAGGTCCAGAGTCAACAAAGAAGGAGAACAAGTGATTAGAGGTGTACAGAAGGTGCTACTATAAATATTTCAGAACACAAGGGAAATGGCAATGGGAATGATTGATAAGGGAGGAATCCAAAAAAACATTCAGCCAGAAGTGCTAACAGAGAGAAGGATGAGAATGTGATACGCGCCAAATTAAGTACAAAACAGAAGCTTAGGTTAGAGATCTGGGATTGAAAAACAAAGAAACAAAAGCCACAGAGAAACAAAAGCCAAATAAAACAGTGGCAGAAAAATGGAAGGAAAGCAAATGCAGGAAGTGAATAGTTCTAGGATGTATACGTGAAAAGACTTTTCTAGGG